GGGTACCACTTTCCAGTATTCCCTTTACACCTTTGGTGACTCTTTCTTAACCAAATCTGGGCTCTTTTGTATCAATACTTTACTAACATTTTCTGAAATAATTTATGTCCCACACCCTGTCTCCCTTGTTGCTTTCCATGGCTTACGCTTTCCATGGCTTACAAGAGTACATACATCTGCTACATCCTGCTGCCCTAGAGCTCTGACCTAGTCTTTCCTTTCCCTTTTCTTCCTTTACCTTCTTCCCTTTCTCCATGTTCAGGGTCATATCCCAGTGTGAGGTTCATGCATCTAAATCCTATCTCATGCTTCCCTTACACTGGGTATCTCTTTCCAGTGCCTAATGAGTGATGTCTTCTGCTCTCTGACCTCCTGGAAGCACCCCAAAAAGCCCTATTAAAGGACAAATCCCTCAGCTGCTGTGCTGCGGCAGAGCCTAACGTGCCTGGCATTTGACATCCAATGAGCAGATCCTGGAGAACATCTGATGTCTGTTCAAGTAGAGAGACATCCAATGGGAAACCCACCTGAGGCTGAACACACACGCTGCAGTGGGAATGGATGGGCAGGAGGCTGAACTGAAAACGATGTGTTGAAGTGAAGAAATGAAAACAGCTGATGTTGATCAGCAGAAGGAAGACTGTTAATTTAGAGCATGCTGCTCGTCCACGTTGGGTGCAGATAGAAACAATATGCTGGAAAGCCGCTGTGCGCAGGCGTGGGACTCACAAGGGGTGGCCGGCGTGGAGCAGCTTGTTTGTGTGTCAGGGGTGGGTGGGGTGGGTGTGCAGGGAGAACGCCCCCTTGGCATGTTGTCCAGGGGAGGGAGCTGGGGAAGGGGAGGGGAGGGATGGCTTTGCCTTGCTTGCTCCACTTTAAATACCTTTGCACAGAGTTCTGTCCACTGCAGTTAGGTCAGAAAGCTTCACCTGCTGTAGTGAAGGGGCCTCCCTGTGTGGGCATCGCTGCCTCTGCAACATGGACTCACAGCACTGCAAAATGAATGGTGACCCTTTCCAGGTAGGTGATGGGGTCTGTGTGCCTGCTTTTTGCAGAGGGGTGCCTGTCTGCCTCAAGCCTGTTTGCAAATCTTGTCCCCCACTCTCTGAGAGCCAGTTTGACCCAAGATGGGAGGAATCCACACGGATTGTTTTGATGCTTTGTGGTGTCTGGTTGCCACTGTGCTCTCTTTGGGCAGCCCCCATCCTTGTCTGTTGTTAATTGTGCTCACAAAAGTGCAGTAAGAATGCAAATAAACATTGCAGCAGTATCCTTGCATACATGGCAAAGAGAAGAAGAAGCAGAAAAGACCAGCAGTTATTAGAAGTCTTAAACCTGTGTGATGAAAGAAAGCTGTCTTCTTCTGTTAAAGAAAACCAGATGAAGTTATGTGCCTTCTAGTGGAGCTATTTGTTAAATTTTGGGACTCTGATGTTCCCCTTTTTAATGTTTACTGACTGACTTTGAACCTTTTGCTTTGGGAAATACAGGAAAGTTCTGAAGCCCATGCCCTTTGATTACAGGACCTAATGTTACTGCAGGGTCAAGTGACATAACCTGAGGCCAGCATGGTTAATTATTAGTAACAAATTCGGCACATATGTGTCCTATGCAATGCTCCTGAAGCCAGAGAAAAGCTGCACGAGGTGTGCAAAAAAGGGTTTCAATTTATACAAACCTTTTTAAGAGCTGCCAAGGAAGCCTGTTTTTCTACTGCTTTGTGTGCTGAGGCTGAACTCCCACAACAATTCTATAGGGTCTCACCTTGCTGCTTATCCAAGTTGTGTAATTGCTTGGTCCCAAAAACATCTGTGGGAGATCAGCATTTAAATGCCCTAAGAAACCTGACTTGGAAAATAGTTCCATTTTCACAAGTAACTTAGGAATATTATTTCATTTGAAATTATTTTTCACTTTTTTCCCCTAGAATTTTGTATATCTAGTAAGTCTGGACTTTACAACACAGAGGTTAAAAATTTTGTGTCCCTGAAATTGCAAGAAAAACTTTCTCTGGCCTTAGCAGTGTTGGAATTCACTCTGAAGGGCTTTATCTAAACATCTCGTAAATGGATTAGAAGGCTGACAAGATTATGTTGTTGAGCTCCAGTACTGTCACAGGTGTCAGAACAGCAATATCAATCTATGTGCAGAGTGGTTAACTAAAAATGAAGATTTGCACGGTGCTCAGGTAAGCCTGTCCTTACATCTACACATCACTTATCTTTGCGATTGTACTGGGTCCAGGAATGGTTGTTCATGCTCATCAAATGATTCTTATTTTACTGGAATAAAAAAGGATCTAGAAGAAAATTAGAGCTTAATTTATTCCATTCTACATTTGTATATGTGTTGTTTGATATTGTCCTCAGTGTATATTGATGGACATTGCCTCTATATGTATTGATAAGAACTGGGTACCAGGAAAACAATCATTTCAGTTTTCTTTCCCTTTGAAATTAAAGCAAAGACAGTCTGTCTGTGGGCAGACTCAGGCATGAACTGATGCTTGTAAAAAGACCTTCCAGTGAACTGAGTGCATATGCAGATGGGTGAGAAGTTAAGGAAGTATGATGTTGTTTACAGTGTTGGTGCCCACTCTCACTGCAGTGTGTCTTTCTTTTAAGCACCAATATAAATCAATTTACAAGAGTGGGAAAATGACTGGGGATGGATTGAAAGCAGCTGATCTCAACACATCAAGACTAGTGGCCAATGAGTTTTTTAAGGCATTTTTGTGTAATCTTATCATATAAAGAGATCAATTATCATCAGAATTACCTTGCAGGACTTAAACCTTGCATTATATCCCCTGCAAGTATCCAAACCACAAATTCTTCGTTTGTCATGCAGATTCAAGTCAATCTGTCGTATGAGTTGGTCCTCACAGCATGACTTGGCAAGAGTACTTTAAATATATAACTGCATGTCTTTTAAAACGGTTTCATTTCAGACCATGAAAACTAAATTCTCCATCCATCGGGCAGACACTAGTGTAGCGCAGTTTTGGCTTTGCTGCGTGAAAACAGAAGGACAAAGCAATGCACAGACAGTATTTAAAATTACAGTTTTGGTTACACTATCATAAAATTTCTGTACTAAAGACATTTAGTTTGACTTTTGCCAGACTCCTGTCATTGTTTTCCCTTGTGGTTGCTTGAGGTGTAAATGGGTTTCATTAGCCAGCTGACACACCACTTCCAGCTGCTTTTCCTCTTGGTCCTCACCATGTAAAGGCTGGGCTGACTCCCTGGCTGAGTGAGGACCCAGGAGACACAGAGATGCTGTGGTGTCGCAGCTGAACAGATGGAAATCTTCCTTCCGGTGCGTAAAGCCATTACTTCTACTGTAGTTCCCAATAGAAGTTCCTCATAAAGGTAAAAAACATTTGGAAAACCTTTGCAGCCTCTGGAAGTACAGCCAGATAGAAAAATGTGTTGCCAGTCTCTGGAAATAAAATCTCAGGTTAGCAGCAGCCTTGGAGGCAGCCTTGGAGGCAGCCTTGGAGACAACCTGAAGAATCAGCAATTATATACTTTACAAAAGAAGGAAGTTCTTCATAGCTCTGGAAATGTAGTCCCACCAAGAACTTGATGTCTTCAGGGCAACTGGATTTGCTTATTAATTTGTCTTCTACAAAGGCTATTTTTAATAAGGACAATATTTGAGAATTGAGACTCTTTACACTCTGATTTATATGTTCAATTAAGCAATAGCTATAACGAGGACAGTCTCTGACTGAAAATACGGATCTTCATAAAGTAAAATTGATTGGGTACCTTGAATCAAGTTTTGACCCAGGTCTTGTTACACCAGGACCCATCTGTGTTGCAGATGTCTGGTGTGATCTTTGAAATACCCATCAGGGGCAATTTGCCCAAGGTCAGTAGAAATTAAAAAGAAATGAAACAAACCAGCAAATAAGACATTAATGTGACTCCCAAAAGTTTGTGATGGTTGTGCATCAAATTTACTCTGACATCAGAAAAATTAATTGATTCTTGAAATCTCAGCAGGCCATGTCAAGTACCCAGATAGTTTTGAAAATCTGGCTCCACTCTAGGATTCAGTTTTCTATTTCTTAAGTGATGAAATTACTCTTCCCTACTTAACAGGGCTTTTGTGAAAAGAAACACATGTACTGAGGCATGCAAAGACATTCTAGTAATAAGAACCATGAAAATAGTTAAAATAAACATTCTTCTTTCTTGAGAACACTGGAAATTGCCTTTTGGAATTTGCAGAGCTGAAAATCAATAAGAGAAAGAGAACAAACATAAATGAAAACACATCTTGACTTAACTGAGTCTTTACTGACTGTGGGATTTAGGGAAGATTTAAATGTTTGCTCCAATATTTATTCCTTTTTTGTTTCTTTTACTTTCTTTGTTTGGTGTCATTATCTTGTTTTTAGATCACCTTCTATATACCTCTTGTGCATATGTCCTCTCCCCTGGGGATACCTGGAAGGTACAAAGAGAAATGAAATGAATCATAGATCATGGTCTGCACCTCTGCACAGAGCTTGTCTACATTGCTCCACTTAATCCTGAGTGTTAATGAAAAGAAAGCCTGAGGGAAGGACTTTGCACTGTAGCTGAAACCAAAGTGCAGTAATGTTTCCTGTCATCCCTGAGCTTGATATACCTGACAGATGAAGCCAGGCAGAGATGATATTGGGTTATTTTCATGTCCTTTTTAACTGCCTTGCTCCCACAAGGACCCAAGTTTGAGAGAAGGGATTTGTGTCTCTACCATCATGAATCAGAGCAGCCCCAGAGCTGCTCTACTTCTGGCATCAAAGTTGCCTTCATTCCCACTGAAAGCTATTGTATATCCTCTTTACATTGCTGATGAAGTGCAGAAAGGAAATGGAGAAAAGTAAAACTGACTCCCAGTGTAAATCTTTTCTGTTTGTGTGTTTTCTTTTCTGTCCTTTCAGGAATCTATGTACATTGAAGAGTCCCAAAATAAAAATGGTGTGATTTCTTTGATTTTCTCTCTGAAAGAAGAAGTTGGGGCATTGGCTAAAGTCCTGCGCACATTTGAGGTAAATATTTTCCTTCAGGAAACCTGACTAGGTCGTTACAATTTTGTATTACAGTAACATTTTTTCAGGGTATTTGAGATCACATTTGTTATTCTATTTCATTGCCATCATGGGGAAAAGCAGCATGCATTTCTTTTCTGGGCTTACAATCCCTTAAAGTCTTGGAGCAGAAGTAGCCTTTTTAAGTTAAAATTTGATTTCAAACTTCTAAATTAAAACCTCTACCTTTGACGTGAGAGTGGAAAAAATGCATTTTTTTCACTTAAGAAGGAAATATTCCACTGTAACTGCTTGAGTAAGAGGTAGGAGTGACTTGGCCATGACCAAAGATTGATTTATAATCAAATAATTTGCCTTATAACTTACAAGGCAAATATAACGTGCATGTGAGCCATGTGACTCACATTATATGTTGCATGAAGCATTCTACTGGGGGCAGCTACTGTCCCCACCTCAGTAAATATCTGATCTAAATAAACCCACCATCTCCCACCTGTGAGAAGTACCTGTACTTCTACAAAGTCAGTAGAGGGTACCTGCAAAATAGCATCAAAATTACAGTACTTTGTTTACACCAAAGAGATTTAACTTGTACTGACTGATTTGGGAAGCTTTTGGGGAAACAAGGAGTCATTTACCTTTCAGGACATTGTGTGCCTATTTATTCTTGTAGAAATATTTCCCAGATGTCACAAATGCTGTTTAAAAAGCACGAAATCCCTGCAATTCACGATGGTTGTGTTGCAACACACACAGCTGTGTACTCTGTGCTCCCAAACAAATACACTGTTATATTGGTTCTGTGGCGCTTTTTTTTTTTTTTAGATCCTCATATAATATTTGTACCTGAAAACAGCAATTTCTCTAGAACACTGTAAGAAGGTGCGGGTTGCTTATTTTCCATTCATAAATTGAATTTACTAGGAAATGAAAGATTTGTGTGTTATTGGTACTAAGGAAAAATAATTATAAGTTATAGGACATATTTGATTCATTAGGATGAAAGGAAATTCATGCCACTGACAGCAGAGCTAGTCTAAATCTGTGAATTGACCACTCTAATACAGTCCTGTAAAATGTCTGTATGTCAATGATGTGCATGTCTGTAAGTGAATTAAGAGACTGTTGATATTTGCTTATTAAATGCATTACTGTCTAATAACAAAATTACTGTCAGCTCTAAAGAAAAATCTGTAGGAGAGCTAGTATAAAAAAGAGAGAAGTAGGCAGTTCTTGGATGTGACTTTTCTTGCCCCAAAGCAGATACCTAAACTAGACTGTCTGAGTCATGTTTTTTCTCGGTGACCCTGATGGCAACTGAGGAGTTGGGACTCAGCTAAAGGTGTCTGCACTGTTGGCTGGGTGGTTTTCCATCTCAATGAAGCTAACTCTTTCTGTGCTAACTTTTAGTCTCCTCTAGCACCAGGGGTTGACAAGACACCTGTACATATGTGCTCTTATATCAGTTTTACATGCTGTTGACGATGTAGTGGAGAAGTAGATGCAAGGCAGGAACAAAGGGATTTAATGGTGCAAGCCTGACCTGCCACTTCAGCTCCTCAGGGCTATTGTTAGTGAATTCCTGTTGTGTAAACCAGAGCGGCCCTTGCGCTGTTCTAACTCAGTTCAAAGAACCTCACCCTCTGCACAGTGGTGTAAGACATACACACGCACAGGGTAACCTCCACCCTTTTCCACCTGGGCCATAACTACGGTGCCTCAGAGACACAGACTTTGTGCTCAGTGACATCCACAGCAGAGACAGGGAAAGTTGTAACATGCAGATGAAGAGTGGGAACAAGAAGGAAGAGCTTGAGAGAATTTTTTTGTCTTGTACTCCTTCACTGCTTAATAACATCAATTGTGAGATGCTATGGGAGTTCAGACTCTGTTGGTGGGCTCCTCTGAGCAGGGAGGTATCTAGCCTTGTCCCCAGGTTTCTGTCACCAGCTTATTTGCTGGCCTGAGGAAATGCAGTGGGTTTGTCCCAGGGGGACATCACAAGGAGAAGATGTGAGGATGGCTGCTGTCTGTCATTGCTTCATGCAACCACATGAAGTAGGAGACAAGGAAAACAAAAAAGCCACAAAATATGATCAGGCTGTTCCCTGGAGCAGATGTGGCTCTGCAACTGTTGACCCCCATGGAGGGGGTCCACACCTTGTGCAGATGCTGGTGCCGATGACCATGTGTGGCATGTTCAGAGACCGTCTGTTCCTTGCTGGGACTGGGATCTGCCCAGACTGCTGAGGTCTCTCTGGGCACTCATTCATGGGAAGGCAGGCAGAGAGCACAGCTACACTCTTTCCTTCTCCCAGCTCAGATTTGAGAGTGATTGAGACAGTGCCTCCAGCACTGGCTTTGAGGATTTTGCCTCTTCTTGAACCAATTTATAAAACTACCCTGGGACATGAAGGGGGGAGAAGGTGGGTTGAGTGAGCTGTAAATATGAAAGACTTGAAAATAAACCCTCTCTCATGGGGAAGGAAGCATGGAAGCAAGATCCAGACTGAGATACAGGGAATTGAGGGGATACCTAAAGAAAGGAGAGATCTTGAGGTGCTATCAGCACATGGACTGCCTTTCTGAAAAGGTGGTGTCTATGTGGACCTAGGGAGGTTCATCTTCTCCTTGGTTTCAGAGCTGAAGAAAAGAATTCTGTTATTTTTGGTGGACTGTCCAGTCACTCTTGAGTCCCTTCTTGAGATGCAGAAGCAGCTTTTCACTCCCAGATTCACATCCCGCCCATGTTCTACTTCTGTGTTGGGGTGAAACTTGGCCAGATTTTAGCCTCTGTCACAGCTCGTTCTACACAGGCAGCAAGAACCCAAAGGAGCTGTGGTGTGTTCTAGCCTCAGTCTGCCCCTAGATATCATGAGGTCCAGGACTGCCGGCTCATCAAGCATCATGACTATTTCCCAGTCCAGATGTAAACTGGATTTATCCAAGAGTCACATCACTCAGGGAAGGAAGTAGTGTCCAAACACAGCCCAGCTGAACTGGATAAATCCCCATTGTGGAGGCAAGGAGGAACTGAAGGTAGGGGAGCCTCATTCAGATAGGGCAAGGCCAATGGCTACAGAGTGCTCATGGCACAGAATTGTGTCCTTTAACTGAGACACCAAGTTTAAGAGAATATCAATATGTTTTGTGGAAACAGTAATGTTTGTCCTACTGAAATGTCCCTCAGGTTTTCTCATGCAGTTGACAGAGCTCACTCTCACATATGATTTTTTGCTCAAAGACCCAAACTCTAGTTTTCTGTTTGAGTCCCAGTTGCACACAAGTATAGCTACAGTAACAACTGTTGTTTTTCCTATGTAGATTGAAGGCTTTTTTTCCTGAGGAATCTCCTCTGTATACTCAGCTCCTTATGTCTGCTGTCTGAATGTCCAAAATGTACTTGATTGTTTCTACTTTTTTCTCATGTTTGTTCTCAATTCATATTCTCTTTTATGTATTTCAGAGTTAGGTCAAAGCACAATGCCCAAAAAGGGCAAACAGTCTGCATAGAAGAAGGACAGTCACATATTTAAAGAATGACTATATGCTGAAAGCATTTCTGTCTCTAAAAGCAAACACAGACTATGTCTATGGAAGAGTTTAACAACCATTTTGAGCAGGTGAGGAGTCCTTTCCCAGTCTCACACTCTAACAAAAACCAGCACTCGGGAAGACCCCTCCAAAGACAAGACCTCAGCAGGCACCTAAGCTTTTCTGACCCCTAGTTCTTGCCCACTCTCTGGTTTGCAAATCCTTGCCTGACTGCATGAATCTGTTCCTCCCGGACTGCTCTGTGGCACTGCTGACAGTACAGTCTCTGCAGTCTCTTCACCTTTCCCGGGGAAAGACGTGTCTGCAGGACCAGACTCTCACTCTGACATGCTGTAACATAATATCAGCTCAATCATGCCCTGCAATAAGCAGATTTTTAAAACTGAATCCACTTTGCTTCCATGCTAGATGCTGTGTTTCTATACTGGGATGTGGCAAACATTCACTTTTTGCTTAACAAACCCAATTATTTTGCACTTGAAAAGCCTATTTGTCCATAACATCTGTTCCAGCATGCATGCAGCTTCCTTATGGGCTCTGCTGGGGCAACACCTGAGTCCTCATTACAGGCTTGAGCATGGCTGTCAAGACAGCATTAACCCACCAGCAGGGTGTTTACAACAACATATTTTAATAGGACCTGCTATACACCTGTTTAGTGCAGCCATGTGCTGCTTATTTGTGTCATGCTGTTACAGAAGATGATAGCTAGGAAGCCTTGAATAAATACCTTAGCCTGAAACAGAACTTCACACATAGATAATATATCATGCTTAAAATAAGGAAGACAGAATGGCCATTGTGAGTTTATGTTTCTCTTTTGATTCACATCAAAAACTTATGGAGTAAAAGTGAAGGTCAAGAAAAGACAAATCCTCCATGTTTCTTGTTGAAACTGAAAAAGCAAACCTGATCATTTTGGGTTAACCCTTGGTAGAAATGCTTTTTTCTCTGTAGTGATAAAAGCCTATTGAAATCAAGATCCCTTTTTCAATTCTGAAAGAAAAAACAGTGAAGAAAAAAAAGTTGTTCTTCCTAAAATATTGGCCTTTCCATTGTTAAATTCATCATTAAAAATATCAGAAATAGACATTTCCATATGTAAAAAGGATTGCTTTCAGTCTTATTTGCAGATTTTCCACATGAATTTGTGAATACATTAATCTTCTCTTAAGTTCTTTTTCTGATAGAAAAAGTAGCAGGAAATCATCAGGTGTATTAAGTGGCAAACATTGGACTACAATACAAGTTTGCTAAACTCATTCTCAGAGAGGAGCCTTCTATCTTTTCTTCACTGATGGGACCTTCTCAAGTACTGAGCAGGACTCCAGTAGAAGGTCCAGCCATCCGTGGTTAGGGCTGTAGCTCAAAAGCAGCCCCACTGATTTGCACGATGTACTCCCACTCCCAGAGTAAGTTACTGTTTCACGGGAGTAAGAGTGCTC